TGGAATGTTCTTCCCAGAAGGAAAGTCACCCCCATGTCACGAGCCCATCCGAGCCCATCCCATGGGTCAGGCTCCCCACCCCGAATGTCTGGCCCAACCCCTGGAACAAACTGCTCTTGGCTGGGCCCAGGGTGCCAGCTGGGGTTCTTGTGTCCCCAGACCCTCAAAGGAAAGAAGACCCCTGCTGCGGAGGCTGCTGCCAGGTGTGCGCCCCGCCCAGCCGCGGGCCCGAGGCCTAGTGCTGCCGTCGTGGAGGGGCTCAGCTCAGGGGAGCCTCCCTGCAGGCAGCAGGCGACCACCCTGCCCGGTGGCCTCATAGGCAGGGGGTACACCCAGCCCAAACCCGCAGCCGCACAGAGGCAGGCAGGGGAGCCCACTGGGCCTGCTTTGAGGAGGCTGGACCCTGCAGGAGACAGGGACACGGCCTGGGCCCTGTGGTCGGCTGTCAGGGGCTCCTGCCCGGAGGAGGCGTGACCGCCAGCATGCAGCCGCCCGGCCGCTTACCGAGGTACCGGAGCACGGCGTCCAGGGGCTTGCGCGCCGCCTGCCTCGGCACCAGCGGGCTCTGGGAAGCTCCGGGCAGCCGGGCTGTGCCTGCGAGGGGCCACGTGGTGTGAGGGCGCTGCCCACTCCCGACCTGGCGCTCTCACCCCCGGGGTAGCAGACGGGGCCCTGGCCGGGTCCCCAGGTGGCCCCCCCCCTCCACCTGCAGGGACAGCCCCGGGGACGGGCGCTCACACTCGGCCTTGATGGCTGCGCTGTTGATGGGCGTGTAGGGGTGCCGCGCGGCGTGCCACGGGCGCAGGATCTCGCGGCACAGGCGCCGAGCGATCCTGGTCAGCTTGGTGGTGTGCAGGTAGAAGGCCTGCCTCGTCTTCATGGCGAACTTGGGGCTCCCGCTGCTCCGGGCTGGGATGCCGTGGGGACTCTGCAAAAGGGGGCGCACCGCCCCGACACAGCGCCATGACCGGGGGCCGAGGACCCGAGAGGCCCCCACGCGGCAGGCGGGGCGGGCGCCGCCCGCTTACCATGTTATTGCGGTTTGGTCCTGGCCTCTCTCCATCTAACCGGGTTGGCATTTTCAAGCCACCATATTTCTTCCAATATGTCCAACAAGATGCGCAGAGACGACACTGCATGTTAGGGGGACCCCAAGAATACCACTGGTAAGACTGTGTGGCTACGGACAACAAAGTTGGAAATAGACGGATTCTTAAGCAGAACCAGCGACGTCAGAGTGTTCCACAGCGTCCCTGCCGCCCCCAGCCGGGCCCGGGGCAGGAGGGGGTCCCTGGTCCCCTGCCCCGGGGGCACCCCGCACACCCCAAGAGGCTCCCCCACCACGCCCCACTGCCGGCGCGGCCCCGTCATCGGCAGGGCCCTCCCAGCCTGGGCCCGACGGGACCCTTGGGGACACCGCGGAGCACCGCGGCACGCGGCCGGGCGTCCCAGCGCCCTGCCCGCCCAGGGCACTTACTGTAACAGCTCTCGCAGGCCCGGCCGGCCCCGGGGCTCTGGCCTGGTGCCCCTGTGCCGTTCACCACGCCGGCCTTGACATTGTTGACGCTGATCTGGTTTGGATTTGGCTTGTTACTGAAAGCAGGAAAGGACAGGAGGCGGGAGTCACAGGGCAGGAAACCCGGAGGGCCCATGTGCGCAGCGTGCAGCTCTGCTGGGCGGCCCCCCGTCCAGATGCTGTCCCTGCAGCCCTCGGCCCCACTGGGGGCCTGGCCTTCGCCCTCCAAGTTCCTGGAGCTGGGTCCCACCGAGGCTCAGGGTGGCGTCCAGGTCCCCAGCCAATCCCACAGGCCAGCTCAGCTGGACTCACTCGTCTGGGTGCCGATGCCCCCACCAGCCAGGGGCCTTGGACGCACTGAGACACAGCCCCACGAAGGGTGCCCGACGCCCCAGCCTCGGAGCCAGCCCGCCCCGCCCCCTGCTGGCCCCAGGGACACTTACTAGTTGGGAATATACACTTGCTTCAGCTTGCTCTCTGCTTCGGCTGCCTTCAAGCGTTTCTTAAGACAAAAAAGAGGGTTGGCAGAGAGGTCAGTAGGTGGGGCCCACTGGGGCTCAGGAACCCCCCCCCCCCGTACCATGGCCTGCACCCGTCTGTCCCAGGGCCCGGCCCCGGAGGGCGCCACGCAGCAGGACAGGGCACACCCAGCACGGGGCGGCGGCGCCCACCTGCTGCACGTATCTGTCGGTGGTCTTCCACATGTAGTAGTACTCGATGATGCTGGTGAGTGACTTCCACGGGAGCTGCGCGAGAAACACGTGTCACGTGGGGCAGGGACGCGGCTGCCGCCCAGACGGGTGACGGGGAGCAGGGCGGGGCGCGGCGGGAGGGCTGAGGGGGTGCTGGGGGCACCACGCTGGGCCCTGTCTGCAGGGTGGGGGCGATCGAGGCAGGGAGAGGAGCTGCCACAGGGCCGGGGCTGGGTGGGGTCCTGCTGCGGTGGCACTGCCCACCTGGCACTCCAGCAGTCACTTCTGTTTGTTTTTAATTTAAAAAGTTCTTTTTTTATAGAGACAGGGTCTTGCTGTGTGGCCCAGGCTGGGGTGCAGCGGCGTCATCGCAGCTCACTGCAGCCTCCACCTCCCGGGCGCCGGCGTCCTCCTGCCTCGGCTCCCGAGTGCCCGGCCACGCACCAGCCACCCCGTGAAGCTGCGTATTGTCCTGCTCTTCACTCCGGATCTCTCGGAGCACTTCTCCTCTGGGTGAAATCATTTAACTTCGCGGCTTCCCTTCTCACATCCTCTGTCGTTCCTGGAACGCTCACTAACTCACTGCTCTCTCTGCGCAAGGCACGCAAGCGCCCGCTGCCGAAGCCCCAGGTCTTCCGAGTTCGCGGTGCTTTCCCGACTGCGCGCCGAGTCTGCCGCTGTGTTCCCGTGCTCCACGGCGAACTGTCAGAACGTCGTCGTTCAATCTCTAGGGGCCTGAGTTTCCCCAGTCTACGTCACGGTGAGAGAATCCCACCTGCAAAGTGCCTGCTTCTCCGGTATTTACCGACTTACGTAACGTAGCGACGTGTGTTCCGTGGCACGGAGCATCTGAGACCTGTCTCATTAAGCACAGAATTCGGATGGTTCTTGTGTTTGCTCCGCTTGGGCGGCCAGAGAGGAGGAGCCGAGATTGCGCTGGCTGGGACGTGGCCCCGCAGCCCCTTCCCTCTGGCTGCGCAGGGCTGCTGTCCCCCGCCGCGCCATCTGGCGGTGGCGGTGCAGGTTCAGCCCTGGTGCATCTCCTCTGCCACGGCCGGCTGCAGCCCGCCCTCGAATTCTCTGTTCCGGAGTCTGATGCGCCATTTCTAGCCCTTATCCTCGGGCTCTATTTATTTCTCGTCTGAGGAGGTTTCTCCTGTCGTTTAGCTTTTCAGCCAAGTCAGAAACGTACCCGCCTCACAGAGGCCGCAGGCCAGGAGCTGGGCCAACGCCCCGGCTGGCACCTGTCCCCTCGGCTCAGCACACCCCACTGAAAGCCGTCTTTCCCCCCCAGCAGACGCTTCCCCTGGACGGAGCGCCTCAGTGGGTCCCCCCGGCAGCCCCTCTGCCGGGCCTGGGCCACTTCCGTCCACTATGCTCCCTCCAGGCTGGGCCTTGCTCCCATCTCCGGCGCTCTGGCTGCTCCCCCAGGCCCTGCTGCACTGACTTGGACTGTCATTATTTCGACGATGCCCTGGTCACATGACGGCAACACTGCTCTGCCCTGGCCCCTCAGAGGACCAGGGACAGGTCGCCCGGCTCTCTGCACACGGCCACGCTCCTCTGAGGGTGGCCTGACGGGCTTTGCCATGGTGGTGAGCATGTTCTTCTTTCAAACAAGTTTACAAGCATCTCAGCGGGAGCCGAGGTGGGGTGGGGGGGAGGGGTGTAGGTTCGCTAGGCCGGAACTTTCAAGGGACACACAGGGACGCGTAAGCTCAGCTTAGTTAAAAAAACAAAGACAAGGACAGGGGCCACAGTGGCAACAGGAGGCTGCCAAGTGTGTGCGAGACCCCACCCTCGTCCTCGCCACGGCAGCAGCGGCAGACGGCCCTCGTGCCCCACGCCTGTCTGCTCAGCGCACAGTGGCCGTTAACGAAGCTGGCAAGAAATGCCGTGGCCTCTGTGGCTGAGCCACACGACAGGACGGGAGGGGAGGCCAGGGCGGGCTGTGGGGGCACACACAGCTCCACGTGGGGCTTGGGGCTGCAGGGCAGACCCCCCAAGAAGAGAGTGGGGCCCAGACCCCACACCCTCAGCCAGCTGGAGGTAAGACACAGCCAGCCCCTCCCGTGACCCTGCCACGGCACTCACAAAATCTTGCTGAATGTCTGTGAAATCCTTCCCGTATTTTTCCAGGGCTTCCTCGAAGAGGTTGGCCTCTGACGCAGACCACTCCTCCATCTCGTCCCTGCAGAGCACCGGCCCGCCCTGCGGCACCAGGGCTGAGATGGCCTTGGAGATGTCGTAGATGTTCCTGTGAAGCGTGTCCATGGCGTGGAACTGCGGCGACACGGCAGGGGCGCCCGTGGTTAGTGCCACCCCAGCCCCCGAGGAGGCTTTTCCTGCAGCTGGTCAAGGCCCCCACTCCCTCAGTGCCTCTAGGTGACAGCCCTGGCTGCCCAGGTCCCTGGCAACACGCCACTCCCCACAGCCCTCGTACACGTGGCTGAGTCCGGGAGACCGGCAGAGGCCAGGGTCCAGGCAGGACAGCCACCTCCCCAGGGTCCTGCATGGGGGCGGGCATGGGCCTGGCGGAGGGAAGGGGAGGCACCGCTGCCCCCCAGCAGCCACTCACCAGGGTGATGTCCCGGGAGGCGGCCGCGGCGCTCATGTGCAGACTGGGCTGTCGGACGGAGCTGCTGCAGTCCAGGGCCCGAGCGAAGGTGCCCACAGAGCTGGGGACAAAGAGACGCGTTGACGGCTAGAGCCAGCCAGGACGCGGGCAGTGCTCGCGCCGCGGGGGGCTCGGGAGGGGTGGGAGGCCACGGGCACCGGAGAAAAGCCTCGCAGGCTCAGAACTCCATGTGCTCCCTCGTCCCGGGGCACAGAGCGTGCAGGACAGGGCCCAGTGTGACTTCAGGAACGTTCCGGAGCTCCTGCGTCTGAGTGTGCAGTGAGCAGCCGCTGCGGGGTCAGGAAGCCCGAGCTCTCGCTGTTCTCTCCCAGGCTTCTTTCTGCCTCCCGAGCTGCTTGCAGGAAAGGCAGCCGGGCCCTCCCCGACGGCTGCTCCGGGGCTGCCTCCTTCCTGCCCCGCAGCCCCTGCCCCAGTCTCCAGCCAGCCTGGGCAGCCCCGCCCCGCAGGCGGCAGCCCCCAGCGGGCCATCTCCACCCTCGGGGAAGCGGAAGCACCTGGGCCGGACCCTCCTGAGCCTCTCTGGGAACTCGGGGTCCCGGGTGGGCCTGTGGGCTTCACATCCCCAGTGCCCACTGCAGGGTGAGGAGAGCAGGGAGCAGGGACGGGGGTCCCAGGTGGGGTCCTGCCCCGGGAGGCGGGCAGCGCTGTGGCCATCCCTGGCCCCGGCACTCACCGGGCCACCACCAGGAACTGGTCGATCTGCTTGTCGATGAGCGGGTTGTGTGCCTCCCACACCTTGGTCTCCAGCTTGGCCTGGTCGCGGCCGTCCTCCTCGCCTGCAGGCAGACGTGTGGGCTCGTGGGACCCACCGTGGCGCCCCAGCGCGAGGGCTGCACCCCCCTCCCACCCGGGGGGCTGGGAGCTGCTGGGACGGAGGCAGGGACGGGCTGAGACAGTCGTGAAGTCAAGGCCAGAGGGAGGCTAGGACGCACGCTTGCGCTCACGCGTGCACTCGCACGGCACGTGTGCACTCGCACGGCACGTGTGCACACGCACGGCCGGGCACAGAGCTCCAGGGCACGCTGAGCACCCAAGTGAGGAAGCGCGTCGCCCGCCCAGGGCTGGGAGCGGCCGTGGTGTGGGGAGGGCAGCGTCAGGATGGCAGGTCTGGCCCACGTGCTTTGCAGTTGGCCGCGGCCGCAGGCGCCAGGAAGCCTCACCTGAAGGTTTTAATCAAGCTTTTTGTTCTGAGATGCCAAAGAGTGACATGCCACTATAAGAAGTGACAGAGGCCCGAGGGCCCTTTTCCGCCCCCAGGGAAAGGTCCTGTGTCACGTCCCACATCATGACCCCCGTCACGGAGCGCACGCTGGCTCACAGGGACCCTCTGATGCCAAGGCTCCCCTCTGGCCGTCTGCCCCCCCAGGAGAGGCCCCGGGCACAAGCCAGCGCTGGGGTCTGGGTGTCGTCGGGCGTCACCTGCCCGCCTGGCCGTCCCCGACCTGTGGGGAGCTGGGGTGATGGGGACGTGCCCGTGGTCTGCAGGTGGCAAGAGCCGCTAGGCCTTCTGGGCGGCAACCTTTGCTCACAGAGAACAAAACCACGGTGCCAGGACAAACCTCAGCGCGGCCAGGCCCAACTCCCGGGGAAAACACGGAGGAGGATCCTGTGGTCGCCCCGTCCAACCCCCCGGCCAAGGCCACGTCCATGATTCAGCGCAGGGATCGAGCTTCACGTCTCGCCAAGATCCATCAGCTCCCCTTTGGCCCTCGGCGGGGACAGGCCCCCGACTGGGGCTTCCTCCGTGAGCACATGGCGAGCTCCTGGGGCTGGTCGGGGCTGAGCGTCCCCAGGAAGACATCGTCCCTCTCCGTGGAGCCGCTCCAGACCTGCTGAGGGCCGGGTGCCCTCAGCCGCACGCGAGGTCAGGCCTCGCGGCCTCCAGGAAGCAGTGCTCGGCCAGGCTCTGGGGGGAGAGAGGCCCCGCGCTGCAGATGCCCACGGGCCGGGGCGGAGCCGGGCAGCTGGGAGGCCTGTTTCTGTGGCACCCGCAGGACCTCAGTGGGGTTTCCAGCGTCGTGGGTGGGTCTCCTTCCTGGTGTGGATGATGCCCTGAGATGCCTCACCCCGGGGAAGCTGGGGTCCAACTCCTGCTCGCGTTCCGGGGTCTGAGGGCCGCAATGCCGCCCCAGCAACTGCCGGGCAGCCCGGCCCAGAGCCAGGAGCCGAGCCGGCCCTCAGCGCCGCAGCCTGTCCTCTCACCACTGCTCGGACAGTGGTGTTCCCTTCGGAATGCCGCACGCACCGCAGACAGGCTGCTGCTCCGTGTCATGTATTACGGGAGGTGGGGAAGGCTCTGGAGCCACACGACTCTCTCTGCCTCCCACCAGATGGCGAGGTCACGGGGTGGCGCAGGGCTGCGGAGGGGGCGGGGCTGCTCCTGCACGGCCCCCGCTCTCCAAGCCAGACCTGGGGCTTTCCCCAACTGCAGGCTCGTTCTCCTGCCCGCTCGGACTCCAGCCGGTAGAGCTCCAGGTGAAGTCCTTTCCCTTCCAGGCCACCCGTTTCTTTGGTCCCCACCGTGATCAAAGTTCACGTGGGTTTCCCAGCTGTGGCCGCGCTACTTCCAACGGGATGTCTCGGCTACCAGCCCCTGCCCCCTTGGCTGGGCCGGGAAGGCAGACGCCGCTCCAGGCCGCGGACTCGGGTGTCCTCACCGCACAGCATCTTTAAGGTCACGAGCCCGGTCGCTGGCGCCTCGGAGCAGGTCTTCTCAGCCTCGCAAGGACGCTGCCAATGGCCCCCAGGGCGCTGTGCAGGGCACGTGCCACCGTGGCGGGAAGGGACCACCCCGGCTCTGGTGACAGGGAGCGAGTGTGTCCAGGACGCGCCCGGGAGTGACGGCCAGGGAGGGCGGTCTCCGCATGTGGGGCAGGCGCAGCGGCCAGCCTACCGCTCAGCACGTCCAGCCCCCACCACTCGGCGCCTCTCTGCCTGAGTGGCAGGAACCAAACCCGGAGGGCAGCCCGAGGAACGAGACACGCAGGAGGAGCAGGTGGGGCCGCGGGAGACGAAGGACACGCAGGCCAGGGCCCCGCTGCAGAGCGAGGACACAGCCACCAAGGGAGAGCGGCGGCTGCGGACGGGCAGGTCAGACCCTCACAGCCAGCGCTCAGAGGAAAACACAGGGCGCGAGACGCCAGGCGGTGACGCGAGAAAGGCAGCTGCGTGTGAGGCGAAGAGCTCGCGGCGGGAAGGAGAGAGCACCCGAGGGCGCCACTTCTGGTCAGAGTCCAGGAAGGAGAAGAGAGGAGGGAGGCCAGGTCTGAGGTTTCTGTGCACGCGGGCACGAAGCCCTGACGTGACCGAGGGGACGCAGCACGGTGGCCTTCTAGGAGCCCATCGGGACGCGCTGACCCCCGAGGAGCGAACCAGGGAGAGAGGGGGAGCCCCAAAGACCCAGGGGGCGCCCCGGCCGGTGCTGGCCCGCTGATAACAGAGGTGCTGTCCCCACTGCTGTCCACACCGGAGACGGAGGCCCCTGAGGCCGGGCAGCCGGCAGGGCAGCCCAGCTCCAGGGCCCAGAGCTCACCCCAAGGACGTCCCAGGGAGACGGAAGGGAGAAGCCAAACCCAGCTGCACGTTTGGACGGAGCCCAGGAGTTTCCATACGCCACGGCGGGAACTGGTGGTCGGTCTGCAGAGACCAGCACACCCAACCCCAAGAGGGTGCAGAACAAGGCCAGGACCCCCCGGGAGGGCCACGGCGACCCCAGTGCGCCAGCTGTGTGCCGAACCCCACGGGAGCCCTGGTTAAAGGCTCAGTATATTCTAACACCACGTGGTGACACAGCCGTGGGGGCGACGGGAAGTACGGAGACGGGCCGAGAGCTCAGCAGGTGGCGTCTGCTGCAAGGGAGGAGGGGACACACAGGCCTCAGGGCCAGGGTCCCGGGGCCAGGGCAGAGCCGTGGCAGCCGTGGCAGTGAGGACCTGGGCCGCGCAGCTGTTAATACTCGGCGGGAGCGCGGGCACCGCACAGGTTCCTCTGTTCACAGCTGAGCCTGGTTTTGGCTCAAGGGTCCAAAAACAGACCAAGGACGCTGACCCCGCCAGTACGCCTGCCCAGAGGGGCGAGCCCAGGTGCCCCGGAACCCGCCGGTGCGGGAGGAAGGCTCTGGCCTCGGCAAGCTCGGCGATGCACCCTCTTTGTACGACCAGAGAGAGGAGACGCGAGGCGCCGTCGATGGCAACCCCAACGCCATCCCGAGTCGGAGGTGGCACCATGTGGAGAAGGGACTCTCACGAGTGACGAGACTTGGTTTCTCTCTGCGAGAACCTGGAGTCCCAGCTCACGCACGTAACCGGCGCCGAGGCCGAGATGAGATGCCGCGTCCCTGCCGCATCCCCGCGGGCAGAGCGGACGGCCAGTGGCCTGCCTCCCGGTGCCACTCAGCGGGCTGCGGGCCCTGCGCCTGCCCGTCAGGAGGGCTGGGGTTCAGGCTGAGAAGAAAGCGTGGCAAAGTGAGCCCGCCACGGCGCCCCAGGCTGCTGACGGCCAGGCGGAGAGGATGGTGCTCTGCGCCCTGCCCCTCACTCCCGGCTGGTCCGGGGGCCGGACACCCACAGGCAAAACCCACGAAACACCAGGGAATTTCCTCCAAAGAAACGTTTTGGAGACAAGAGCTCATCACAACGTACTGAAAAGCAACAGTCTCAACACGCCAGGGATGGCCGATCGGCACGCTCTGCGCCAAGGCTCTGGGGCTTCCCCGGGACCCCGACTTCCCAAGCCTGGGCCACGCCTGCCGGAGGGAGGCCCGGTGAGGGGCACGGCTGCCGCCCACTCACAGAGACGCAGGCGCAGCTGCCTCGCCAGCACACCCAGTGCCCCGGCCGCCTTGGCGTGGCCCTGCCTGCCCTACCTTCTTTCAGCAGGTCGGTGATGTCCGCCTGGTACCGGTTTCCTACTCGGATCTCTCCTTTATCCGCCAGGAGGGTTTTCTGCTGCGGGTCGTAGACGAGAGAGTAGAAGAAGAAATCCTGGAAACACCACACGAGACAGAGGCGTCAGCACGCGCCCTCGGGGGCCGTGGGGAGCCAAGTCCTGGGGCAGGAGGGAGGGGCCTGGGGAAAGACGCCCATAGTCGGGGTCTCGGGCCCCTGCCCACGATGCGTGGCGGAGGCTGCGGCGGCAACAGGAGAAGAGAGATACAAAGGCCGAGAGGGAGGAAAGACCCCCGTGTTACTGGAAAGGACTCCCGGAAACCTCAAGGAGCCGACGGACGGTCAGACCCCGCGAGACTTTGCCAGGGTTGGCCGGTGTCCCTGACACACACACACACACACACACGGCTTTCCTACTGGCAGAACGACGGAAATTTAATTTATAAAAACGCATTTAAGAGCAAGGAAAACTATGAGGCGCCGCGGCACAAATCTGACACATTCTCGGCACAGCCCTGGGCGCCTGGATGTGTCACGGGACACGTCAACACGTGGATGGTTACAGAATGTTCTGGAGGCAACGCCACGGAGCAGCTGATGGGGACAGTGGGCGTGGCCCTCCTGACCACGACCGTCTTTCACGGCCACCGGGCCTCCGGTGGAACTTGTGTGACTGGGCCCTTCCCGCCCTCCACGCCCGGCTCCCGGGAAACCGCGGAGAGCTGGTTTTCGTGATCTTTGGCCGTCCTGGAGTCCTAGCCGCGTGAGCTCCGGCGACAGGGTGGCGGCTCACCCTCCTGCTCCCACTTCATCTCCCGACGCATTTTCGGTTTCCCCAGCCGTCGCCCCGCGTCCCCTGCCCTGCTCTGACAGCCGCCCCCGAAACGCCGCGCGTCACGGCGTGAGCACAGCCGCGGGTGCCTCGCCCTGCCCGGGAAGGACGGGCCGTCCAGGGCGAGCCTCGGCCTGGGCACCCGCAGGACCCGGTTCTCTGCCAGGTTCCCCCGTCACGTTTTCACTCTGCCGCCGCGTCTTTAGATTGGTAAAAGCCACGCGGTCTGTTTCACGTGGATGGCGCGTGGGCTGCGGCCGGGTGGGTCTGGTTCTACCGTGTGTTGCTGCTGCTGACTTGGTTTTCCTGTCCTGGGAGTGTGTCTGGCAGGACCAAACAGACGCAGGACCCCGGCCAACGGCGTCTGTTCCCGCTAGGCCCTTCGTGCTCTCACCCGGCCCGCTAAATTCCATTCCCGCTGGGGGCTGTCCGCAGTGGGCCGAGAGAGTGGGAAAGGCCACATCGAGCGCCGGGAGGGTGTCAGGTCGCCCCGCACCCTGCGTCACGTAAGAACCGCCAAGTGGGAGGTGAGCAGCGAAGACTGCTCAGGCCGCCTGCAGACGAGCACCGTCCCCAGCAAGTGTCCGCCGGCCGCCTCCAGCGGGGAACATGCGGCGCCGACGGCCTCGCGCCCACATCTGCACTGCGGACCGGCCTCTCTGCTCACATCGCCTCTGCCCACAGGAAGCGCGGCCTTCTCTGTGGCTCTGCCTGACCGGCAGACGGCAAACCTCATGCCCTGGTGGGAACTCCCCGGCCTCCTGGGAAGCAGGGCCTGCCTCAGCCCTGCTGCGTCCGTGTGCCAGGCAGGCAGCACAGCCCCCCTGCACCCCGCCGGGGCCGCACCTGCCTGCTCCTCGCAATAGGCTGTCTCACCAGGCCGCCCTGGCTCCCGACCGGAGCTTGGCCCTCGCTGGACTGCGCTTCCCACGCCCGTCCGCCTGCTTCAGGCTGCGAGGCAGGAGCGAGCTCATCGTCCCCTCGGGGTCGGACAAGGGTGTGGGGCTGAGCCGGGGACACCCGTGGCCCGGCCAAGGCAGAGAGGGAGGAGCGCCGGCTCCCTAGACGTGCACGGGGGGCTCAGGCCACAAGGTTCCAGCCCCCGCCTGGCCCCAGGTCTTTCCGTAAAACCGTGACAAGTCCTCTACGTAACTGACTGCTCCAGATGCTTCTGACCTACCTGGTCCCAAAACCCACCTTCCCTCCAGCCACTTCTCACGCACCGCACCCTTGCCTGGGGCGATCCTGCTCCCTGGAGGCACGTGGCATCGTCTGGAGACGTTTTCGGTTGCCACAACTTGGGGAGGGCATGTGGCGGGCAGCACCCTACAGTGTACAGGGCAGCCCTGGGGGCCCCGTGGGCCATGGACAGAAGTGGCCACCTGGGACTCCATCTGCTGCTCAGGGGAGCCCGGCCGAGCCTCCTGCAGGGACCCAGGTGGCCCCCGCACCCCTCCCCCTGCCCACCCTCCCCCGCCGGTCGTCCAGGGGCAAGCGGCCCCCAGGGCAGGCAGTGGGCACTGAGGGAGCCCACGATCCTTAGAGTCTAGACTCGGGCGGGGGGCACACACACAAGCACGCTTGGCAGCGGCCGTCGGGACGCCCACCCCGCTTCCCCTCAGACGGGCCGCAGAGCCCAGGCCGGGCTGAGCCTCACCTCCCGCTCCAGGTAGGACTTGAGCGACTCAGTCTCGTTGAGCAGAGTGACGCTGCACTTGCCCCTGGAAGAGAAGGACCAGCAGGCTGGAGGGGAGAAGGCCGCCCGGCGGGGCGCTGGGCGGGGAGCCCCGGGCTACCTGATGTGGGTGGCGGGCAGGGACTCCAGCTGCCGGGACAGGAACAGCTCCCGGTGCCGCAGCTGGTGCTTGAGCTTCTCGGGCAGGTCCACCATTTCCGGGTTCTCCATTTCCTCTTCGATCTCCCCTGAAGGACAAAGAGGCCCTAGGTCAGCAGGGCCCTGCAGACGCACGGCCCCCGGACTGAGGCCCAGCATGCCAGCCCCGCCCCTGCCCACCGGCACCCACCCCGTGCGGGGCCCAGGCCGCTCACTCCCCGCCACCTGGCTCCCTGCCGCTGCCCCGCCCCGTGGTAGCCAAGCGCATCCTTGGCCGGGCCCTGCAGATGCTCGGGCACCGACGTGCCTTCATGCCCAGGCACCCTGAAGGCCCGGGACCCCATGGGCGTCAGGACAGGAAGAGAAGGGAGGACAGTGTCCAGGGCAGGCCTTGGAAGCAGCAGGCAAGAGAGAAAGAAGGGAAACCGAGGCAGCAGCTACCACACGCCCAGGACCGGGGAGGAAGGAGCAGACACCCTCTGTGCACGGGCCCCGTCCCCCAGGCCCCAAGGCCAGATGCCCGCATAGCCCACCGCAGACCTCCCTGCGCCAGTAGGATGCCCCTGGGGACCAGGCGCAGGGACGCAGGGAGTGGGCATGCAGGCAGCCCGTCCGGACCGCCTGGCCCAGGGACAGACAGGAGGGCGCCTTACCTTCCTCGCCGTTGTCGGCCCCTGGTCCGGCTTTATAGCAGACTGACAGGGCTATATAACAGACAGAGCGCCCACACGGCAGGGTTAGCGCCAGCGCCAGCAGCCTGCTCCCTGCCCAGGGCCCGGACCGAGGGCTGCATGGCCAGGGGCTCGGCACACACGGGGGCCACAGGCCTCCTGCCACCCACCTCGGTGCCACGCCTCTGAGGGCAGAGCCCGAGGACCTGGCCTCCAAGGCCGGCCCGCCCAGCTGACCACCGCTGCCCCCTCTCCTTGGTCAGGAGCCAGACCCTCCTCGGCTGCCCCCGGTCTGTGCTCAAGAACCAAATGCCCCCGCCCTATCCCAGGCCTCGGAAGTGGAGTGTGGAGTGGGGTCCCCACTGTCCCCACCATGCCCAGCACCAGCCACCAGTGGGACACCGCCAGCCCCGGTCCCGCCCACCACCGGCCACTCTCTGCTGCCCCCAGGTGGTGGGTGCCGGAAGTCCTGGCACCTGGTGGGGGGGCGACGCCCATAGCTTAGACTGAGGCCAGGGTGCTGTGGCGCCCGCTGGGCCCCGGGACCTGCACACCTGCCCTGCAAGCTCCCCATCCGCGGAGCAGGGCGGGGCCGCCCAGGGCTCGGTCCTTCCCCAGCCTGGACAGAGGCCCACGGTGGCTCCGAGAGCCCCCACCTTGCCGGCAGTCTGATAGCAGCGGTGAGAAGGGGCCCAAGCACAGGGCTCTGGGGTGTAGCCTATCACGGCCCAGAGCCCCCAGGAGACCCCTCAACAGGGGCAGGGACAGCGGGGCAGGGGGGGGCTGTCCCTCACCCCTCACGCTCCAAAGCCCCTCGCGGGCCCTGGGAACAGCTCAGGGCCAGGGCAGGCTGTGCCCACCCACCGCCAGCTCCCGAACCCCCACGCTGCGCCCTGAGGGTGCCAGGGGGCGGTCACCTCTGCCTGTCATTCCGACCCCCAGGAGGACGGCCCTGTGGGGCCGGGCCACAGCCTCCCCCCAAGTAGTCATCCAGGGAAGAGCTTCTGTGCTGCGGGGGCTGCCGCGCAGCCTGGGGCGTCCGGCCTCCCGGGTGTCCTTACACCTCTCCCCAGCGTGGGGCCCTGCGGGGAGCCAGGCCCTCGCCCCGGCTGCGGTGAGCTCCCAGAGGAACAGGAGACGCACGACGGAGAGACAGCCCGAGGGACGCAGCCGCTGCAGAGGTCCCCGCAAGACGGCCGGGCCAGGCCTGAGCCCTCCAGGGGTGGCGGACCCTGTCACCCACGGTGCCTCTCCCTGCAGCTCGCCTCTCAGTTCACAGCAGCCCCTGCAGAGGGGCTGCCAGGACAGCTGTCCAGGGAGTGGAGCCCAGGGCAGCTCTGCCAGGCCCCTTTGGGGCCGCGGCGTGGGCTGGGGTGCCGCCCTCTGCCGCCAGTTCCAAGGAGGCCCTTCCGGGAAGCCCGCGCCTCTGACACCCGCCATCGCGTCACGCTGGAGTTCCCTCCCGGAGCCCTCTCGGTCACGGCCGTGCTCCGGCACGCCTGACGGCAGAGCCTAAGTGACCGCAGTCACTCTGGGCTACTCGTGGACACGCCCGCTGCATGGTGACACCAGCTTCCCTGGGCCACCCAGCCAGCAGCCCCCGCCGCACCCCAGGGACAGGACAGAACGGCCCCCGATGTGGCGTTGGAGCCAACCTTGCCGCAGACGTGCCCGGCACCTGCAGGGCCCATGCTGAGCCCCCACAACCCCTCTGAAACATGCTGCTTGTGGACCCCGAGACCCCCCGCTCTTTTCCTTGGCACCTGGAGGCTGCAGCTTTGGGGCTGGAGGGCACAGGGGTGTGCCCAGCTCCAACAATCCCTCCTCTGGGCAGATAATCAGGGTCCGACTGTCCCACGAAGCCGGGCAGGCTGTGGCCAGCTGACTGCTCCCTTTGGGCCAGCCCCACGCCCCACAGTCTGTGGGCTGCACAGGGCTCACCCCACCCGGGCCCAGGGCCTGCACGCCCAGCCCGGCTGCACTGACCCCCGGGGTACTGAGAACAAGGTCCCGGCCGTGCGAGGGGGGAGGGGAGGTGCGCCCACACCCTCCCACCCACCCACAGCAACCACCTGGGCCCCAACTCCCAGCGGAAGCTAACGGAGCCTGGGGGTCAGCAGGGAGCCCCCGCGAGGCAGGGTGGGGGACACCGCAGCCCGTCCCTGACGCCCCCACAGCAGAGAGGAGGTGGCCTGGATGCCGTCCTGCTCTCGCCACATAGCACCTGGGGCGGGCAAACAGTGCCAGGGCCTTCCACCCGTGGTCCTTCCGCCACCGCTGTGGGGGCCCTGGACCTCTACCCACTAGGAGCTGGGGCTGCAGCCCACCGGTGACAGGGAGACACCAGGGATGACTCCTGACAAAGTCAGGAAGAGAAAAGGGATGTTCCCGGTCAGGCCCAGGGGCCTCGCTGGGCTGGGGGCTCCCACCTGGGCAACTGGGCACAAGTGGCAGCCAGTGACTTCCCACCTGCCTGCCTCCCCCAGCACCCGAGGAGCCCTTCGGCAGGAGGGACCGAGTGTGGCTGCGCCGTGGCGCCAGCGTGCCCGGCAGCGCTGGTCAGGGCCTGCCCGGCGCCTCTGCCCATGCGGCTCCCACGCCAGCAGCCGCCCCGGGGCCAGGCAGTCCCAGTAGCTCCGTGACTCGTCTGCCACGTGGGGGACTTCACCGGTCTGTGGGCGCCTGCGCCAGAGTAAGCCGGGCCCACCCACAATGGCGAGGGCGCGCTTCCACGCGTCCGGGAGCTCCACGCCCCTGCGAGCCCCTGCGAGCCCCTCCGAGGCAGGCTCAGGTTTGAATTGTAAAGAGGAGGCAGACAGGGACTGTTTTCTGAAAATGCTACTCTGAATGCCAACGGAAACTTCTCCGTAAGATAAAGACGAGCACAGCAGCTGCAGGTCCAGGCCTGGGCCAGCGCCACCCCAAACCTGACACATCTGCGGGGTGGTCCAGCCAGATCTGAAAAGCCTCCAAGTAATCATAAAAGACAAACAAGAACCTTCTACCAACAACCTACACCCAGCCAGCCCCGTGACAAGCACACGCAGGATGTCGGTGAGAGGCAGACCCACTTTTTCCGGAGGGGCTGTTCAGACCCCAAGGGACGCGGCAGACAGATTCCATCAACCCCGGCCCGTGGGGAAAGGAGGCCAGAGCCCTGCACGGGCCCTGCACACAGATTCCTGCAGGTGCACAGACCCGCAGCGGCTGTGGAGAAGAGGATGCAGCAGGCAGGCGGAAGGCGGCCCAGTGAGGCCAGGACCCCCGAGAGCGAGCCCTGGGGACGGCAGGACCCGCCCAGCCCCGCACACCCACCCTCCCCGCCAGGAGGTCGCTGGGCACAGCCGAGACTCACTTGCGTGCTTGTCCGCCAGGGCGATGAGGGTGCTGGAGATGTCCCGCCGCCGGTAGAAGCACACCACCTTGGCCTCCACGTTCCCGTTGGCCGTCTGTAACGGTAAGGCACAGGCCTTGAGCAACGCCGCCACGCGGGCTCACGCAGCACCCAGACGGGGCTCCACACGGGACCCGGCCGTCCACAGCCCCAGCCCCGTCTGAAGACCTCGGGAGTGACCACGTCTCCCTCTGGGGACTCCAGCGACAGGCACGCCACAAAGGAAGCCAGTCCCAGAGCACGGCAAAGCCCTGGGGGAGAGGGCTGACACGACCCCACGGAGGGGACATACACGGGACCTCAACCCGCATCTTGACCCTCCCTCTCCTCTCAACCCTTGGTCCTTCTGGGCACCACCTGAGAACCCTGGAGAAGGTGTCCCCACTAGGAAAAGGCCCCGCCAAGCTGGCACGGCCTTGGCCAGCTCCTCCGGGCACCGCAGGCGCCACCCTGGCCGGGGCCACAGGGTCCCCTCCTGCCCAGGCCCTGCCTGCTCTGCGCCAGTCCTGGGGACCGCTCTCTGACCGTGGAGCTTAGCCAGGTCCAGCTCTGCCCTTGGCCCTGGGTGGCGGAGGCGACCCCGCCCCTCTGCACCCGGAGGTGAGCGCGCGGAGGGCAGCCACGGGTGCAGGCTTCGGCTCAGATCCACATCAAACACAGAGAAGAGCCAGGTGGGACCTGGGGCCCAAACTGCATGTGCTCGAACCGCAATGCCGTGGACGCTCCCAGCCGCTGAGCTGAAACGTCCGCGTGTCGGGACGGAGTGAGAGGCGGCCACAGAACCCGCTGGAGCTCATACAAATCTCAGCGCGGCGAGGACCGTGCATGCTGCAGTCTCGTCGTCGTGGGGCTGCTCGGCGCGCTACCATCGTAGCGGCAAGCAAGGGGCCTGGTCACGGCCAGCCCAGACCAGGCAGGGCCGGCCCCGCCTCGCCGCGCTCGGGGCTCCTCCCTCCCATGCAGCTCCACGCTGGATCACCGGGTACAGGAGTGTGGGTGCCACGCTCCGAGCCACGACCCCAGGCCACTTCCTTTATGCCGCTGCTCAGGGTGCTCCTGGGGCCCCCGGACATGCCGCACCATAATGGGGTTAGAAAGCATTGATTCTTAAATGCAGACGACGTCCCAGTGATGCCCGTCGGGTCTGGAGCGTCACGGCGGGCCAGGAGACGCAGCGACACACAGCAACAGCTGCCCGCCGGGGGCAGCCACGTGGCTGTTCACAGATTTCCGGTTTCTGCACGGCAGGCCGACTGCTTCCACCGTCCCTGCAGACAGGGCCTGTCGGCTCCACACATGGTGCCCTGACCGCGACCGAGTCACTCCGGTGCTCGTGTCGCTACCGTGGACGAGGCAGAGGTGGCAGGGCTGACGCTGCCACGTCCTTCCTCTGCTGCCCGTGTGGCTGCTGCCCGAGGTCAACAACCGCTGCCGCCATTCTCCCCAGCGCCGGGCAGCGGAGCTCCTCGAGAGCGGGAGACGGCACGCGGCCCCCGCTGCCTCCGCGGCTGCCGTCCTCCTGCGCGTTCCGGACGCCCTGGCCCTCCCTCCCAGGACAGCCGCCACGACCCTCCCGGAAAGGTGCCGAACCTCATCGTCCTTCCGAGGGTGGCGGGCGAGCTGGGCCGGCCGCGTCTAGCCTTCTGCCCTGAGACGGGGCCACTGAAAAGGCACGTCCAGTGGGAGCCCCAGGCCTTGCCACGCGACCTGCTTTTTCTCCAGGGACATTCACCACCCGTGCTCTAAATTTAAAAATGTGCCTTGAGGAGCCACTTCTCTCAGTTCTAGGATGTTGCATTTTCCGTCTGCTTTCCGAGAGCACCTTCGACTTCGCCGCCTGGTCCTCTCGTTCCACTCTCCACCTCCTTCCGCTCGCCCTGCCGTTTCGGGCGCACCGCCCCTGCCCTGGGGCCGTCAGTGGCATCCTGCGGTTCCCTCCTGCTCCCTGGCCAGCTCCTTCTCGCCCCAGCTCCACCCTCGCGTGACAGCCCTCCCTGGACATTTCGTGATTCCTGGCCGCGGGAGCTTCCCGACAGCTGGAAAGCTGGGTGCACAACTTCCACGCCAGGCGACGCCGTGGGGGGCCTGTGTTCTGCGGGGTGCCAGGGCTCTGGCTGCCACAGAGAAGCTCTCGATGCCTTCCTGGGAGTGAGAAGCTTGAATGCAAGGGGTGGGTGGCCCCACAGGAGAGCCGTGGGCTAGGCACCCCGCCCCACTCTCCTCGTCCCCGAGCTGGTGGCCAAAGCTGTGGAGAAAGGCTCCGGGTGAGCACAGCTGGGGCCGGCTGTCCTGGTGCCAGGCCCCGGCCGAGGAGCCCCACAGTCCGGCAACAGGGCCCAGGGCCAGGCTGGGCCGTGGCCAGCCCGAGGCAGCACCCCGACCTGCCTCACCGTGCCCCATCGGACCCCAGGGCTCCCATGTCACTGCTGCCACCAGGCCCGGGGGCCAGGGAGCAGCGTCTCGCAGGCAGACCGAGGTCACCCCAGGCCACACGAGTGGCGCCGGCAGCTGGAGATGGTGAGGGGGCTGCCGGCAGGCACAGCCTCTGGGGTGCACGGGGACCCTGTGAACACCCAGCACCGCAACCCCATGCTCTGCTGGGCCTGTGTCCACAGTGGGCGACGGGCCTGCCTCCGCCCCCGCTTCCCAGCCCCCGGGAGAGGCAGGGGCAGAGCAGAGATTGGAGGGGCCAGGCCGGGAACACACGCGTCCACCTGTGCTGCGCCCCAGCCCCAGCTCACAGGCGCGACAGCCCTGGCCAGCGAGAAGCCCGCCAGGGACCCACAGCAGGCGTGGCTTGCAGTGCAAGGCTGCCCAGTGCCACGGGAGACAGGCTGCGCTCGACCCCCGGCCCAGGCAGTGGCACGGCGGCCGAGTCGCTGAGGCCTCAGCAGGCAGCGGCCGCCCAAGGCCAGCCCCGAAGCCGAGGCCACCCACCCTGGGGCGGGGCGCAGGGCCTTGGTTTCGTCCCACGTGGCAACCTGTCAGGGCTCGGGGACAGAGACAACACCAGGAGCCCACAGGCTGCCACGGTGACCCCTGGGGGTCCCCCAGGAACGGGTGTCGGGTGAATTCAGCGCCTCCCTCAGTGACGACACCACGCACCCCGCCCTGCTGCGGCGACGGGCAGGCTGCCGGGGCGGCACGCTACCTTGTTGAGCTCCTCAATCCTGCGGATCAGGTACGGGTTGCTGGAGGAGTTCTCGAAGTAGACGTAGTCTGCAAACAGAGAAAGCGTCAGCCTGTGGCCCTGCAACCCGACCCCTCCACAGCCCGCCTCCCGCCGCCAGGCCAGGCCTCGGCCCGCACCCTCGGGGCAGGGAGCGGAGGGTGTGGGGCAGGCGAAGCCCCCACACCAGAGGGTATGAGCCCAAAACCCACCGGGCAGGGCTGCTGGAGCCTGGGGAGACCCCCCAACAGGCTGCCGCCAGCCACGTAGCCCCCGGCCCCCTCCAGCAACAAGAACAGCAACTGACAGAAAGCGGCCGGCGCAGAGACGGGGCAGCGTCACTGTAGCAGTTACAGGGTCACCCTCATCAGAGCTCGGGGACACCAGGCGCCCGAGGGTACCATGGTGACCCTGCAGGGTTCCCCGAGACTGGCCGTCAGGTGAATACAACTCTTCCCTCAGTGACGAAACCGCACAGCTCCGGCCTCCTCACCAGACAGAGAGCTGCCGAATTTTCCAGAGGCCAAAAGGTCACCCTGAGGGCCCGGGGAAGTCCAGGCCGGGGCGGACACCCTCACCACCCTGACCTGTGCCCGCTCTGCAGACAGGGGCTGACCAAGAAGGTCACTGGCAGGAATCGGCCCAAATGCCCGCAATGGGCGCAGACCTCGCCAACTTCAGCCGCACAGCGCCAGAGAGCCCAGCCCCCGTCTGTCCAGACAGAGGCCCAGTCTGCACTGCTGGGACCTTGCGGAAGAGCCTGAGAGCACCTCCCTCCTGTTGACGCACCTGCAGACGTGCCCCACGAGGACGCACCTGTGAGGGCGCACCTGCAAGCGCGTACCAGGCTGAGCACACACATGCAATACACACCTATGCACACTGCTCCCTCGGCTCACCTGGGCTGCCCCGACAACACGGCTAGATCAGACAGGGCTGGGCCGCCACACAGTGCCATGGTGACATTAAAACCCCACAGGGACACAGCCGCAGCACTCAGAGGGCCGCGGGCAGCAGGGCACACCTGACGGGGAGGGAGGTCTGCGGGGAGCGGCGGCGGCGGCGGCGCGAGGTTTCTTTCCAGGCTGATGGAAATGACCTGGACTTCGACCCTGGCCCAGCTTGTCCAACTCCGTGAAAATACTAACACCCGCTGAACTGCACACACAAAACAGGTGAATTCTATCACATGTGGGTCTCTCAATGAAGCTATTTTTAGAACAAAAGGTCTCAAATCGATACTCTAAGCTTTTACTCCAAGGAACTAGATAAAGAGCAAATTAAACCTGAAATAATTACTTAAACTTGCCAAAAACTGGGAAGAAACCAAATGTCCCTGTATCAGGGAACAGACGAGCCCCCACTCAATCTGGGGGGGTCCATCCATTTCGTGGAAGAGTCCTCGACAGCGACCAGGAGTGAAGCCCCGGCAACCACACGCTGCGGCAACCACACGCCGCAGCAACCACACGCCGCGGCAGCGCTCGAAGGTGCCTCCTGGGAAGGCAGCCGGGCCACGTGCGAACTGCTCGCACAGGACAGCCACAGTGCGGAAGGGGCGCGGCTGTGCGGCGGTCTGGGGGACGAGGGGGGCGAACTGCTCTGTGTCACGATTGTGGTGGCAGCAATGCAACTGTATATTATAATTTCGCCAAAATCCACAGAACTGTGTACTTAAAAGGCGTGAGCTGTACTGAATGTAAATTATGCTTTAATAAATGGACAAATAAACAGAGCAAGAAGTCAGTAAATAATAACGAGCAAAAATCAGGCTGGTGTGGTGGCTCACACCTGGTCGCTAGAGGCCAGGAGTTTGAGACCAGGGCACATAGCAAGATCCCATCTCTTAAAAAAAAAATAAAAAGAAAAACAAATTAGCCAGGCGTGGTGGTGCACAGCTGTAGTCCCAGCTACTTGGGAGGCTGAGGTGGGAGGATCGTCTGAGCCCAGGAGTTCGAGGCTGCAGTGGGCTGTGATTGTGCCACTGCACTCCAGTCTGGGCAACAGAGTGAGACCCTCTCTCTAAAAAAATTAATTACTTTAAAAAATAAATAAAGAGCAAAAATCAATGTGAAAACAGAAAAATAACGCAGAAATGAAAATCAAAGGAACCAAAATCTGATTATTCATAAGATCGATTGATAAATCTACAGGCAGACTGACAGAGCAAATGCAGGCGGCACCGACAGCCGGCGTGGGGACTGGGGCGGCGCTGGAGAGCCCCGGGCACGAGGCCTCCGAGAGCTCAAGCCAGTGACCCCACACCTCAGACAAAACGGACCGATCCATGGAAAGACAGAAACTACCAAAGCTCACTCAGGAGAATAGGCCTTGTACACGCCGAAGAAACTGAATTTCAACAGCAAAAGCTCCAGACCCAGATGGCTTTGCTGGTGAATTCTATCAAACGGCTACAGAAAAATCAACACCGTCCCCACACCGGCTCCTCCGAAAACAGACGCGGAAACACTATCCGACTCACGGCGAGGCCAGCGCCAGGCCGACGCCGCACCAGGCAAAGACAGCACGGGACACCGCGCCAACGCACAGGCGAGTCCCCACAGAGCGTCAGCACCCCGAACCCAGCACCCTCGGAACGGGTCGCGCATCTCGGCCGCCGTGACGGACCTGGGGGCACGAGGTCGGCTCCACATTCAGAACTCAACGTAACTCATCAAATGACAGAATGAAGAAAACCATGACCGTCTGAGCAGATGAAATCCAACATGCGCCCCAGCTGGCATCTCTAAGCAAGCCGGGGAGTGAGGGTCACTCCCCTTTCCACGTTCGCGGAGACCCGTGGCGTACGCCGCCCCTCACAGCGGCAGGGCGGGTGCTTTCCCCTGGGTCGGAGTGAGGCAAGGACGTCCCCTCTCCTCTGCTACTGACTGCAGCGGAAGTCTCAGGCAGTGAAGTGAAGTGAGGAGGAAAAGTTATTGATGATAAACGAAAGGCACACAGACCGGAAAGGAAGAAGTCACACTTTCCCCGTGCAGAGGACATTGTCATCTCTACAGAAGTTCCTGAAGAATCTACCAAAGGAACTATTAAGATCAATGTTTTAAGGGTTTAGCAAGCTCACAGGATACAGAGGTCAACAGATAAAAGTTAGTGCTATTTCCATGTACTACTAACAAACACTTGGAAATTGAAACTTCAAAAGTACCATTTACAATAGCACCAAGAGAAGTTGAACATTTAAGTGTAAATTTTATAAAAGATCTGCAGATCTTTAAAGATTAAAAGGTCTGTGCAAAGATTTACATGCTGGAAACTATTAACGTAAGACACTGGCGGGAAAAGTCAACCAAGACCTAAGCAAGTGGCAACACAGAAGGTGTCGCGACTAAAACACACGCCAACAAACTCCCCGCGAAGGCCCAGAGAGGAAACGGTTCAGGCTGTGCTGGCCAGGAGGCCAAACCGAGGACGTACATCGGTGCCAGTGGAACTGTTGTAACACAGGTCTGCAAAGTTTTTACCAATAAAATTAAAAATAACTGTGTGCAATTTTCCATAATACAGATGTACTAACAAGACCCGAACTCTGTCGTGGGGACGACATTTTCCTAACTGGGGTTCAAAGTCAGTGTTACCTGTGATCAACACCAACTGCAAATGCTCACCTCCCAATGCCGACCTGCGGCGAGGTCTTGTGTTTTACCTTTAAACGTCTTTCCACACACGCAGGTACTGCCAGATGCTGACTGGATCGACAAGTGTGTAACCGGGTATATTCGCTGCTTAGAAGGTGGTCACGGCGCCACGCCAGCGGTCACGGCGCTAGTCACGGCGCCACGCCGGATTCTCCTCTCGACATCTTTCCGTCAGCACGTCCGCAGTGCAGGGACAGCTCAGCGGGCCTGGGCTGCCCACACACCGCCCCTTCCACGGGCCCCTCAACCTGCCCCTGGGAGGCTAGCTGAGGCCTTAGGCCATGCCGGACGGGCCATGCTGACAACGCGATTTACGGCAGGGGCCTTGGGCCACGTGGAATCAGCATGACCTCCGCAGGGGCCAGAGGCTGAGTGAGGAAGGGCAGCCACACGGGTGGTTGGCCACAGCGACGTGAGCAGCCTCCGACGAAACCTGCACCCCGAGGCTCAGGTGGGCCCCCTGGCCAGCAGCACGCCACGCCCGCCGTCACACACTGCCGCAAGAACTGGGCCCGTCCACGATGCCACAGGGACGGGACGCCCGTGAGCCCCCACCTGGCCTCTCCGGAGCCCTGGGCCCTGCCCCTGTGCCTTTGCTGACTGGTCGGGATCCTTTTGTCGCGGTCAGCTGCGACCCTGAGCGCGGCCGCTTCGCTGAGCTCCGCCAGTCCCTCCAGCACATCACGGAGGCTGAGGGTGGTCTTGGGGACCCCAAACTACGGCGTGTGATTATGAGACCAGTCGCTGTCGGCCGAAGGCTGGGTGGGCCCTCGACACACTCATGTGGACTTTGAAACACAGAGAACCCCTCGTGCCCGCGTCGATGTGCAAGGCCCAGCGCTGGGCGGTCTCGGCCCAGGGGATGAGCCGCTGCACGGCGCGCGCGTGGAGGTCCGGCCTCGCCCTTCGCCTTGGCGCAGTAAGGAAACTGCATGAAGCGGTTTGTGACTCAAATGCTATCTGCCGCCAAGATGACTTTTCCACAGTGTTAAGTTTTGCAAATCACTGTTTGTTTTGCCTTGTGATTTTAGGATGAGTTCATAAACAACGTTATCAAGTATTCAGCAAAAGCTAATTTCCAAAGTCATTTAGTGTTTTAATAATGCTGGTTAAGAGTGGTTTTTCTCATTCTAAAAATTTTCAATTTCAGCGTTGAATTTTTTAAAAAGCTATAAAACTTTAACGACTGCCAAGCCATCAAGCTGCTTGTGTAGCAGGACAACTCAACATATTCAGCCTCTGTTTCTGAAAAAAATTCATAGAATTGATGATAATTAAATTAAGTCCGTGAGATCAAACGGAGTTCACTGTTGACAACACTGGTTCAGTAAGGCAAGACAGGTTCAAATATTTACCACAAAGTACTCGCCAACAAGTAACAGAATGAATAACTAGAGGCTTTAAGCATCTTACTTTTTAACGCGCTTTGTAAATCTGTCCAACCAAGCCCTTTTCTGGGCCATACACTTTCCCACCACCATTTGCGACACATCTTAGCAGATTCCACTTCAGGATGCACTAAGTTAGCATCGTCCCAACTTCCTTGAAAATATCCCTGGCAGTACTCGGTCCACGCACTGTTCACAGAGGCTCATTCTTCAGTAGCTTCGATCTCACTGAGATGGCAAAAATAAACAACAGAGCAGTAACCCGTCCACTCACCGACAACCAAGGAAAACTAACTGAAATTATCTGGTCTGCCTTCTGACTGCTGGTGCTGCTCTCCGTGTCCTCTTCCTTCGTAAGCTGACATCTTAAACAGGTTTACTGCTTCTGGCCACGTTTCTTTGGCTGCTGAAATCACACAATTTCATTACCTCATCGTTGGGATGCTTTCCTTGCTTAGCTAATAAATGAGTTACTCAGAAACTTACTTTGACTGTATCCTCATTTTCGTCTTTTATTTTTGTGAAGAAGTCCTGCTGTAATGATATACTCCCTTTTAAATTTTCTAACTTTTCTGACCATTATCTTTCCATGACTTTGGAATACTGCGGTCGTGCCAACGTGTGCTGCACGTGTGCCCTTCCCACGGCCATGGTATCACTGGATAAGCAACGCTTTGCCATCTTGGGCAATGACAAATGACGCACATGCCACTGTGCCTTAAAACGGCAATATTCAAAGTCCACTCATTTTTTTTTTTATTATTCTTTCTTTCTTGGATCTCCCATTGAGAAATAATTTTCTTCTCTTTCAAAGTCCACTCTTCTCATTTCCACAGGACGGGTATGCTGAGGCACGGTGACACAGGTGGCACTGAAAACACGGGTGAGTCATAACTGCGTCAGTGACTTGCAGG